GAAGCGTCTCAGCAGTGTCTTTCAGCCTCTTTCTATTGATTCATGTTAGTTAATTCTGTTCTAGACATCCGTGCAGCATGCAGAATGGTGAGATCTTATGAAAAACATCCATATAGCATATGGTTATAGAGACAGCACCTTAAATAGAAGACTAACACCTCTGGTTCAGGAAGTTGCTGAGCTGTAGCTTGTTGTAGTTGGGAAGAATAATCTGATGGTGGATTGTCATCGTCTTACACTCTTTCCTAGGCATCTGTTATTGACCTGTTTTGGTGATGAGATACGAGGTGAAATGGATGCTTTGACCCAGCATAGTTGTTCTTGAAACAGAAGACTGTTACTTTTTAGGGTGTTGGTTTTTTTTTTAATTGCGAATTTTACTATTTCATCTTATTGAAATTTCCCTTTCTTAACCTTGGTCGCTTTACACAGTCTAGCCTTCCTAATCAATGCTCAATCTAAACATACCATGGTCATAAATAGTTAGTGGCTACTGTCATGTATCGAGTTGATAGCTTCATGTCACAGAAAATTAGACTAAATTAAGGGCAGGTTTTTCACTGGTATGCTCTAGAATTAAAGTTTTAAGAAAAGATAAAAAATGTGCCAAAATTTGAGCATGTATATGTAGGAAATTTGAAGTCTTACGTTGTTCACTTTGATTTCTCTCCGATTTATCCACTTGATGTGTATGCTCTGACATACTAGACTATTATTTTTAGAATTTTTACCTATTTTTCAACCTAAAGAAATACCATCTGTTATACAGGTAACTAATTTGGAAAATGGTTTTTAATACTGACTTTCCAAAACTATTTGACAAATTTGAACTTAATTGTGGAAGTAGGTAATCATCAAGTGTCAAGGTTCCAGTAACATTTTGAAGTTAATTTGAAAATTCAATTGAGGAGTTACAATTATTACCATAATTTAGTTTAGGTACACTAATGACTTGGCATGCTTTGATATCCATGTGAAATATTACCTTGTTACTGTCAGATCATGCAGTTCAACATAAAGAATTGGTTATTTAATTTTCAAATGCTTATGCATGGAGGCTTGAGTTGCCATTGGTTTTTACTACAACGCTTCTTTAGCGTAAGATGTAGGGCAGAACTGTAGCAAAGATTGTAGCTACTGCCTCATTTATACTTGCCCATATTACTCAGAAAGGTTAGAAATCTTTCTTAGAATTAAAGCTTAGATTTGCTGTAGCTTAATGACACTTGCTTGGAAGGGGCTTTTATGCACACTGGGAAGGAGGATTTTCAAGGTTCTGTGCAAAGATCAAATAGCAAATTTGCCAGGTAGGGAAATTTTGTTTTCTGTTATAAGAGGAACACAATATGAGATCGTATTCAAGATCTTTAATACATGTGTAGCAGTCACAATTTAGAAAAACACAAGAATGTAAATTAGGAAGATAGTGCTTACTGCAGAGGAATAATGTGAGATTATATTGCAGAGAAATGTAATTTATTAAAAAAAAAACCCACACAAAAACCCAAACTAAACCCCAGAGCTATTGTTTTCATAATCTGATTACAAAATTTCCCTAAATTGGAACCAAATTACATGCATTCACTGCTCTCTGCTAACCTTGGCAGGCAGCTTGTTTGCTGCCATATAAGATCTGTTTCTCAATGATACTGCCAAACTGCAATTTGTAGAAGTTGGGCACGTAAATACTTCCAAAGATCTGACTTTTAGTACTTTACCAAAGGGTAGTAAATGGTCTCTGTTAAAATACTCATCACTTCCAGACCTGTGTAAAGGCGTTCAAATGCTGCAGGGAGTGCTGACTACACTACTTTGCCTGTCTTTTCCTGGTGATGAACAGGAAGGTATTGTGGTTGCTCAGAAGGAAATCAGAGTGAAAATCAGACACTAAATCAAGGTCCGCTACTGAGGAGAAACAATCTTAACCTCCAGGCCCTGTTTTCCAACTCTATTCTCTTTTCCCAGCATCTTGTAAAGGATGGTAGTTTTCCAGTGTATCCATCGGCTCTTGTCAGTGCAACTCCTTTTCTTAATTGAATGCCTTGGCTAAAAAAAGTTTAGGTACATTCTTCATGTTCTGTAATGGGTGAGTGGATGTATTAGGATGGGAATGACAAGCATGCTTGGTGTTTTGCAAAACTTAAGGTGATAGATGTTTGCATTAAGATCATCCAAAATTAGGATTTGCATAATCAGTCTGTACAGAGGAAGATTACAAGTTAATGTGGAAGGGTTAATAGTGAGTGAGAGAGGCTGAAAATTAAAGTAGATAGATCAGGAAATGAGGATATGGAGGGGAGGTAGCTATGGCCAGGGAGGAGGATGTGTAACTGGTGGAATGAAAAGGCAGAGGGAAGTAGAGTGAAGTTAGGAGTTTTTCTAACAGTCAAATAAGTTGAAGTTAAAGTGACTATAAATTTATTACCATTTAATGTATATGTTGACTGCATGACTGAATAACTTTCCTTTTAGCTGTGAAGGTTGGAATGGTTTCAGACAAGTGTAACAGTGAGGGTGTTTCTCATGTTGCTGATTAACGTCAAACCTGAGCTAACAAGTTGTGTAAAGCTTCTCAGTTTCCATAACTATCTGTCTTCTGTGGTTTATAATGTCTCTTTCCTAGAAGTTAAATGCTTATTTGAGACTGTATAAGATGTTTTGATAGAATTTAAGGCTACAGAGAACTCTATGAACTTTGATTTATTGTCTAGAGAAACCTCTTAGCAGCATTCATTTAGTGAAAATGGTATGCATTTTTCTATTTTTACAAAGATTAATGAACTTCTCTCTCAAAACTTGATTTCTAGCTTAATACAATGGGTGTTTTAGTGTCTTTTCGTTCCATGTGGTTTTGTTTTGCTGAAAACAAGAGGATTTTGTTTCTTTTATTATGAGGACATGTTCTGTCTTGATGAGAAAGCAGTATTTTCGTGAATAATTTAGAAGAACTTTTCAGGATTAGTGCTGGGTGTGCTGATTCACTTGAGGATCTGAAACTGCACATTTAAATACTGCATAAAGACTAGTGGATGGTGGCTGTTACTCTACATTACACAGCTGAACAGATGCATCAGACAGTCTAAGGAATAGTATAGAAAGGTGTTACGTTTTTCCTTAGTTCAAAATATCATGTGGGTATTTGTGTTTCTAAATAGGAAAAGCTTTTTAAAAGTTACTGAAGTTTAAAAAAAAAAAAGTGCACATTTAAATACTGCATAAAGACTAGTGGATGGTGGCTGTTACTCTACATTACACAGCTGAACAGATGCATCAGACAGTCTAAGGAATAGTATAGAAAGGTGTTACGTTTTTCCTTAGTTCAAAATATCATGTGGGTATTTGTGTTTCTAAATAGGAAAAGCTTTTTAAAAGTTACTGAAGTTTAAAAAAAAAAAAGTAATCATACATATTCAACAACATCAGGATCTAGCAGCACTTTTTTTCCTGGAAGATTTATGTCTGGTGCTCCAATTTGGAGTTCTTCCTGCATTAAAAAAACATTTCTGCTGCTTTTCTGTGCCATACACTTATATGGTTGCATTTCCTTTTGGTTTTAGGAAGGCTTTCTTTTTAACAGCATGGGAACAGTTTTATTAAAAAAAAAAAAACCAAAACAAAACAGAAGGAGGAAAGTTCTGGGGCAATAATTTTTTTGTGTTTTCTTGGGGGAGGGTTAATTTAATCAGTCTTGGGATATAATTCATTTAAATATTTTCATAGCTATTTAGAAATGCCGAGTTCTCCCAGTTTTACTCCCTGCCTATATCATTAACCTTGGTGTGGCTGGGCAGACATGCCAGGTCTCTTTCTTACTATCAGTTTACATTCATTTTCCACAACTAACCGCAGTGCAGGGTCCCAGGTGCGTGCGGCAGGAGGTGTGCTGCTTCCCAGGCAGAGGTGGTGGCAGTGACCTGGGCTCTAAGTTCTTGTCTGTTTGGAAGCGCAGGAAGAGCTATTGGGTCAGTACCTGCTGCTCAAATACCTGTTCCTGCTGCACTTGGAAGGAAAGGCATGCCTGTAGCTTGCTGGGGTTCAGAAAGAAAGAGCTAGAGATCTCTAATGAGATTATTTCAGATATTCTGTGGTGGACGTGATGGATGAAAAATAAAACCAATATTAAAAAAAATTTTGGGTTTCTAGGGAGTGATGGATGTAGTCCAGTAAGTACTAATTCCGGTCAAGTTTTTGTTGTGGTTTTGTAACTTCCCCCATGTCTGAACCACATGTAGGTGGTGTGTTTCAGAGGGAAGGTTGAACACTGCCGCAGAACTCTTCCAATAAGCCTTAAGGAGCACGTTAGAAAGATCTGTAGTGCATAGATGTTCTGGACCAAATGCTTCCCGCCCCGCCCCGCCCCCCCCAGCAGTCTTTACTGTGTTCTATGTTTGCGGGTAATCAAAGCTGATGTTTACATGGTTGGGTAACAAACTGTCATTTAAAATGCTATTTTCATGCTTTTAACTGTACCAAGTTTAAATTTTCTCTATTTTGTTGTGCACTGTAGCTCCACAGCTTAAATCACACTAAAAGCTAGCTAAAAATGTTAAATTACTTTGTTTTCGATGAACAGACCTGTATTTCCTTTAAACTTCTAAACTTATTTGTGAATTCTGAGAACTCATAACTAAAAAATATTCCAATTCAACTATTATTGTTTTTAACTGTACCAAGTTTAAATTTTCTCTATTTTGTTGTGCACTGTAGCTCCACAGCTTAAATCACACTAAAAGCTAGCTAAAAATGTTAAATTACTTTGTTTTCGATGAACAGACCTGTATTTCCTTTAAACTTCTAAACTTATTTGTGAATTCTGAGAACTCATAACTAAAAAATATTCCAATTCAACTATTATTGATACTTTTCCTGCAATTATTTTTCATTGAAGGTGAACCTCTAAATCTGCTCAGCATGTTGCTTTGAAATCACTAAGTTGTAAGTGTACATATACATGAGTATTCATAAAATACCGCAAAATTTGATTGTCTTTCATAGGGAAGTTTTTACCTTTGAAGACAATGTTAGGACCAAGATATGATGAACAGGTTGCTGAAGAAAATCGTTTTCACCCGAGTATGTTATCCAACTACTTAAAGAGTCTGAAGGTAAAGTTAAGTTTTCTAGTAATTGAAACATTACTTTCATTATTAATGTTTATTCAAATGTTGCTTTTCAGATTTAAGAAAAAAGTGATTGATGGCTTCCTTGGGGACATCTGTACAGAAAATTTTTTTTTGTTTGTTTACATTTTCAGGTTTTCTCTGAAACTTCTAAATTTCCAAAAGTACTTTCTTATAAGCAAGAACTGTGCAAAATCCTCCAGCTCATTAACTGTATTAGCAGCAAGAATTTCACTCTTCTCTGTTATTACTGTTGCATCTTGGAGAGATGTCATTGTCAAAATTCAGATAGTCTGAGTTTGTAGTTTTACAAATGACTCTTGCGTATGGATATGTTAAGTTGCAATTTTGCTTATAGGAGTGAAAGCATTTAAAAGTGAAAGGAGAATTTCATAGAACTCTTCCGTAGTTTCAATGCATAATTTTCTTCTTTAGATGCATAGAATGCTTTATGGTATCTGACCAGTCATACCCAGGTATGGAAGAAAACAATTTATGGATTTTATCCAGTACCTTCTTAGTGAAAGAAAATGCGTAAATAGAAAAAAGTTTTAGGAGCATGGATTGGGACCCAGGAAGGTGGGTGGATGCCTTTATCATTGGGTTACAGAGTTGTGCTTCTGGCTTATTTCTTCATTCTCTGTTTCGCCCATTTCTGTCTGTCTACTTCAACTTGCATGTTGTTCTGCATCGTAGCACAACTTTGACAATAAAGGTGGGGAACAGGACCTTTCCAGCTTTTCATGTAGATCTGTGAAGTCTTGTGCCCAGTCCAGTGCATCTGGAGATGTGGGAAATAGGATTTTGAACCTCCCAGGCAAAGAAAGGCCTACAACCTAATTCTTTTAATCTGTTTATTAAACTGTTATATAGAAGGTTAGCACCATTGTTTTTTGACTCTGTTTTGTGACATTTTTTCTGTGGGTTTTTTGTTTTCTTTTTTTTCCTGTTGATCGAAGTTAAATTAATTCTGAACTCGTTTAACAATATCAGAGCTTAAACATCAGAAGAATCAGGTGACTAAAATAGGAGAATCTTCATTTTATGAACCTTATTTAGGCTTAGGTATGAAGTAGATGGTGAGCTACTCGGTGTAGCAGCGATAGAAGTACCTGTGGGCTAATGTGATAAGAAAGTACTATCAGTGAAGCGTATGTGCCTGTTCTCAGGTGCTTGAACTGGTAGGATTTTTCTTGTTTGAATTCTTGGATCTTTGCATCTAAATTCTACTTGAGTTCCTCTTCTATGCATTATGTTGTTTTTGACTCTGACCGGCCTTAATAGGCATACCTAGAAATTTTCCAAAACCAATCTTATTCATGGTTTAAAGTAATTTAAAATTCTGCGTATATTTTGAAGTTATAGAGAACTTCAGAGACTTACTCAGAATTTCTGACTATTTGCTTGTTAGTGATTTGTCACCAAAAAAGAAATCATGGTGAGCCTTCATAGCCTTTCCACTAGGCACATGAATCAGTTCTATTGCAATACTACAAATCCGTAATGTCTTGAGTGACAGCAGATGATTAGCCTCTGATAGTACAATTTCTAGCATAAGGGTCCCCACTTATATTTTGGTAATTTTGGTTAACAAGCAGAACATATAATTTTTCTCAAACTCCCTGTTCTCATCAAATCTATTATATTGTCTTGAACCCTGGTATTGCTGCTAAATGTTTGCTATTTGACAACATAGGATTTTTTATTTGCCGAGGTATGTAGTGGGTTACTGGAGTGCTGTATTTGTAGAACAGCAGTTTACGAACAATCTGGCAATGAGATGAACGTGCAATTGAGGAGACCTTGAAAAGTGGATTTTCCCAAGGCAAAAGTAGCTTACTGTGCGTGGTTCTTATCATTTTACTGCAGTGTGTTTTACTGCTAATACTTTGCAGAATGAATCACTTCTGAAGCCTGGTTATTACTTAAGTCCATATAATTTATCTCCCAAATAAGAGACTTCAGCAGAAACTTTTACATCTGGATTTTGGTAATAGTGAGATATTGCTGCTACCACAGATTTTTGAAGGTACCGGTTCAGCATTTAAGACAACATCTGCCTGGGAGGAACTTTCTCTAACAAGCTTCCTGTGCGATTCCTTTTTCTCGTGGAGCTGGTTGTTGAAAATCTGTTAGAAACTGATTTGATAAGGGATAGCAACTCCGTTTTTCTTCTGATTGCCAATATTGACATAGTATCTTAATGGTCTCATAAAAAAAATTGCAGAAGCAATTGATGACAGTGTGAATAATTTTTTCTTTTTTTATTTCTTTCTTGAGTAGGTAGGTTAGTACTGTTTATGCTTTGTAAAAGGTAGTTTTATTTCTGTTATGAAGAGCTAGGACATTAGTTAACTCAAAAGAATGTTCGGGCAATTAGTATGCTCAAGTTACAATATTCCTATTAGGAAAACTAGTTATCAGTTTTCAGCCACATTATTGTTTTCACAGGTAAATTCAATCACTGATTTAAACTATTTCCCTCAAATAAGAAATGCAAGAAAAAAATCCTGGGACTGGGGAGAATTCAGTGTATTGTAGTATGCTCTCTCCCTCCTGGGGAGGATGTTTTCAAGTTCCAACGTCTAATGAGAAACTTCTGGGGTCATACAAGGGGAACCTAGCTAAGCCCATTTAATTGCACAGCAGCAGCAGAATGCATGCATAAGGCATTAATAGCTGGAGATAGCTGGAAAGTGAGAAAGTGAGGAGGAAGGCTTTTGTAACTGTAGGAGGACATGGAGAGCCTGGCCAAAATAAGTATGAGCAGAATGGAGGTGGTATGAAGATCTGGGTATTATTGTACGTTGAAGATGAGAATTTCAAGCTATCGATGAGCTTTTTTTCCTTCTATCCAGTCACCTTTTACAATTAGAAGCAAGAAAAATAACTAGTTTCAATTGTGTTTCAATGTGGTGTCTAAGATTGTAGTCTTGCAACAGACCTTGTAAGAAATAAATGTATGTTTTAGTGAGAAGTTGCTCAACAATTTAAAATTATTCTTTCTTCCAAAGCTGTGTCATTCAATGGGTGTGGTGGATTGAAAGATGTGATTCATGCAAAATATTGGCTGGAAAACCAGTTTTTTCCAGTGGGTGACTATCTACTTTAGCTTAGATAGTCTTTCAAAAATTAGCTCCTATTAAGAACTTTCTAGGAGCAAACTTAGGAGAGCATGACTGAGAGGGTGACTGTGATGACTGGTGTGATGTCAGGGTTTCAGAGCAGAGCAAAGCACCTGTGTGATGAACATACGTGTACTAGAATCTATTCTGTAGGTGAGAATTCTGGTTGGTCAGGACAAGCATAGTATAACCCCGGTTCAGTGACTGAAATGTGTCGATTCCTGTGGTACCAGTGGTTTTTTTCATGGATTTTTGGAACATCATAATTGTATACTTTGATATGTTACAAAATCCCCCTGCTTTTTTTAGATTTCTTTATCCTTTTCTTTTGCCTTGCACTCTCTAAATTGTAGTGTGTTATGTGCAGCTAATCCCATGAACTAAGAGAGCAAATGTTTATGCTTTCTGTAAAGCAAGGAAACTGCTTTCAGGCCTTACACACTCTATATATGCCATACATGCTTTTATAGCTTTGGCTAAATGATATTGGATGCCTATTTGGTTTACTGTCTCGTGAAATGTGTGAGGAACAGTGTCACTTCACAAGATCTTCACTTGTATATAATTGAAATGATTCATAATAATTGCAAAGGAATAGCAGGCCAGAAGTCCTACAGTCCTGTAGTTCAGAATTTCCTCTCTAGCAGACACTTTGCTATGTTTCATTCTCCTATTCAAATTAAATGCAACATCCCAAACGCTTGGTGGCACTTTGGGTCTGAAGTACATTGTAGTGTTCTCCTGGCTTCTACATGTCAGTCAGGGAACTGAAATCTGTAAATGAGTATGTTCAAAAGAGTAATTTCTAAAAGTTGAGGGAAAAGCATGCGTGTATTCTTTGAGCTTAAAAACTTTGACATGTAATTAATTTTTGTGCTTTCACGCATCTTCTCAGTGATAATTCTTCATTGTAGCAGGAGTTTGGGGAAGTTTGAAGGCTTCTGGTGGGAGCATTTGAAGCTGTTGGTATTTGAGAGCATTGGGGTTGGGAATTGGCTTTGAGCTTTCAACACTAAAATGGAATTCTCTCTCTCTTACTTTTGAATGGGAGGATTTGAAACTATGTTCTGCAAATCACTTGCATTTCTTCTTGTAGCTCTCCTTTAACAATTTGCTGGGCTTGTGCAATTGGGAATTCCCAAAGAAGGACCTGCTTCCTAGCACCTCACCTGCACTGGTGCATGGGGTTATTCCATCTAGCTGTTGATGGGGGAAAGGTAGGGCATCTCAACAGGTTGGATAATTGGGTTGACAGAAACTTAATGAAGTTCAACATGGGCAGAGACCCCTGCACTTGAGATGGAACTGAATGCAAAAACCTTTACTTTAAAATGATGTTTTCATTAAATCTTAACCTTACTTTGAAAATAACTTTTTTCCCCCTTAGCTGAGGACATCTTGGAAGTGTTACACCTAACCCCATGTTGTACATAAAAGAATAGGTTATCAAGCTGAGCTATGTAGAAGCTGGGGAGGAGGGCAGTTAGGGGGCCATTTATGTGGCTTCATAGTCTAGAGCTCTCTGGTGAAAACACACCTGATTCTCATAACAGTCTTTTTGGCAACTCTAACCACGCTGTTGCTAGGATGCAGAACATAAAGGGAGATGATTATGCTTTTCTGGGGGCATGGCATGTTACTGGAAGATACTCTGTGGATTCTCTCCATGGAGCCATTGCTTGTGTAGAACGGTAGAAAAATATCTAAATAGTTTTCATAGAACTAGCTCATTTTAGATGTACTTTTCTATCCTAGCATGTTGTCCTGTACAATCACCTAGAAGTACTGGTGTGGGAATATATCATTCTCCTCTGAACAGTTATTTTGAACTGGTTTATGTCAGTGTCGTAGCGTTATGGACTTACAGTGTGTAGCACCTGGAAATTTTGTGTGGTCTTACTTGTGAATTAAGTAGTCTTTGAGATATTTGCTCAATGCTGTTGAGAATGGAGGGGAAGGAAAGTAATCATTGAATTAATTGCCTTTTGTGTACTTCCTACAAAATTAATCACTGGCTAGTATGCTGTCAGTCTGTATGTTTAGCAGCTCGGTTGACACTAAATATTTGAGCTTTCAGGTGATGTAACATTGTTTTCAGGTGGACCCCTACTGAAGTAGCTTGTATTTCTGCAAAACACAGTAATAAAAGTAAATAAAGCATTCTGAATACAATATACAAAGTTGAAGTAAACAAGGAGAAATTCAGAACTTATTTGGATATTACACTACAAATGCTTAACGCTGCTGACGTAACATTATGATGCTTTTTAATATCTGATAAATAAAAGTATTATGAAAGTATAAAAGTATTGTAAAAATATTATGAAAGTATATCATCAGAACTTTGAATACCGTGGATAACTACCTCTGTAGATAATTGGAAATTTGTCTTTGGGGTCTACTGAACAACATATCTATGTGAAGCAGCTGTTTCTGAACTGTATTCCAGTTATAATTGGAATTTATCTTTTCTGAATTGTCTGGAAGCAGTGTTTTAATTTGTAATTCTTCCAACTGCACTGCTAAATTATTGCCAGTCTGTTGACCGTAAGGTAGATAAAACCCGATCAAAATTCTGTTTATGAGTATGTGCTGGAGTTTTAAATATATTGAAGATGCAGTGTTCTTCTATGTTTTTGCATGCATAACATGCTTCAGTGTTAATGTATTTTTAAGTGCACTATTGATGTATCTTTAAAAAAGATAAAGCTAAACTACCACTCTTAAAATGCTTTTTAAAAAGACATCTGGTTTCATGGTGAGGATCCTACTTGAAAGCATGACATTCAGCATTTTGACCAAAAACAATTACTTGCACTTATAAGGCAGGAAACCAGGAATACTTCCAGTACACAGGTGTGTTAGTGAGCTGTTTTTGTACAGTAATACTGGGAGGTTTATGGTTGGAAATTTTGTTTGGACCATGGATCAGTAGGATGCACCGTGCTGATGTTCTCTGTGTGTTGGATGCTACCCAGTGGAATTTCTGCTTTCCATCTTGCTTTTTAAAAACATAGTGAATTCCACAAGGCTGCTTTAAAAGACCTATTTAACAGCTATAAAAACCAAACACTAAAAAAGTAAGTTGATGCACAAGAGGACACATCAGGGCAGAGTGGGCAAGGCAGCCTGAATTCAGGTATGTCCTAACATCTGAGTGGTTGACACGGCCACCTTAATTACTGACAGCATCTTTGAAGATTTCAAGTTGTTTCACATTTTAGCTTTGAATAAAATGTTTCTGAGAATTTAAGGGAATTTTTGTTTTAAACTTGAAAATGTGTTCATTTGTTTTGCACTCTAATGGATGGGTAAATTGAGTTATTTTTTCTGAAGGTATACTTTTATGTATAAGTCTCAGTAGTTAATTTTTCTTACCATTCGTCCACTGTGCCAGTGTTTAATATTGTTCTACTTAAAGCATAAGAGCACCTGGTTCCACCTTATTTGTCTTTTAACATGTTAAAATAAGTCTTTACCAGACACTTTCCTGCTGTTAGCAGATCTTTCTTATTTAGAAATGTTGGTGGGAACAAACTGAAGTTTTTGAATTCATGGCTAGTGCTAATCCAGACACCAGCTTTCACAAAGAAACACAGATGACTGTGATGGTGGTAAAATATTAATTTTATGAACAAATACAATATTTAAGAATTTTTAAACTTGCAACTGTAGCTTGCTATTGCTTTTAATTTGGATGTCATTAGCCATTTAGTATTTATGCTCTGATACTTGAACTGCATATGTAAGTTTATTTATTATTTTTTGTTTTTTTAGGTTAAAATGGGTTTACTGGTAGACTTGACCAACACCACTAGATTCTATGATAGGAATGATATAGAGAAAGAGGGGATTAAATATATAAAGCTCCAGTGTAAAGGGTAAGTTGTCCACACTTTTTTAATATTTAGCTTTTAATTTGAAAGATCACACTGAAGTAATTAGTCTTTTTTTTTTTTTTCCTCTTCACTTTCCCCCAGCTGTCTCCTAATCTGTGTGTTCCTGTGTTTTTCAGGCATGGTGAGTGCCCTACACCTGAGAATACAGAAACATTTATCCGTGTATGTGAACACTTCAGTGATAAGAATAGCTCAGAGCTTATAGGTATGTCTTATATCTGTTATATCCATCTGGTATGCACCATTAGTTTTTACTGTTGATTTATTTCATATTTTCTCATAACTGCAGTGTCTTATTCTTAAAAGTCGAAGCAAAGGAATTTCCTCAGTACAGTGTTTATGCAAATATAGATTTGATTGCTTTTACTCCAGAAACTAGTGTGTTTCTGTTTTTTACAGAAACTAGTATGTTTCTGCATCCATCAATTTGATTACAGCTATTGACTTAATGAGGAAAAATATACAGGCTTAAGAACTGTCTACAAATACATGATACTTGCATTGTGTTTTTGTAACTTCTGCTGATACAAATGCAGGTTATATATTGGCTAAGTGTTGTTTTGGCATTTGATGGCCTGGCTTCCTTGAAGTCATATTTGATAACTGAATGATCGGAGATTCTTTAGCAAATCTCACAAAGCAGCTGATTAATTGCTGGAAACTGGTAGTAGATATTAGGCTAAGTTTTTCTTCTGTGGTGTACTGTCTTGCAGTGAATATTTTAATGTTCTTAAGGATAATTTTTTTTTCCCCCAGAGCAAAATAAGTTCTCAGTTTAATTTGGGTGGCTTCTAGTTTTAGTTAAAACCATTTTATTCTGATTTCTGTTAAACATATTAATGTTCAACTCTATCTGCAAACTGTCAGAGACAAGAAATTACTTTGCAGCTGAGTTTCCAGAGTCAGAATGGGTGTTGTCCTCTAGCCACTTTGATGATAATTCTGCAACTTTCCCGAATCTGAGTGTCTGTGTGACTTAAGAGTGCACGGAACAGTTGTTGGCATAGGTGTCATTGATAAGAGCTTGGTAAACTAAGTTGGTATGTTCACACAGTTTAGAATTCATACAGAATCATAGAATTGTATAATAGTTGAGGTTGTTGGAAAGGACCTGTGGAAATCAGCTAGTCAGTTGCCCTTCCTTAGAGCAGGGCCAGCTAAAGCAGCTTGCTCATGACTGTGCCCATTTGGGTTTTGACCATCTCCAAGCTTGGAGACTCCACAACATCTTCTGGCAACCTCTTCCAGTGTTTGCTCACCCTTAAAATATACAGGGTTTTTTCCTTACATTTAAACAGAATTTATTGTATGTCAATTTGTACCCATTGCTTCTTGTCCTGTCACAGGATGCCACTGAGAATCTTATTTTTTTTTCAGTGCTTGAGAGATTTAATTTGGGCACACACTTTTCCACATAATTTTCTTTTAGGTACTTTCTTATTTCTTTATTTCACATAGAATACAATTTTAATTTAAGACCTATGTTTTCTTCTCTAAACTGTAACACGAGTATGTGATATGAAAAATGAGGAACTGCTAAATGAGAGTGAGTGGGATCAGTCATCAACAATATTGCAAGTTCTGAAATACTGTTGAAATGAGGAAGCTAAATGAGAGTGAGTGGGATCAGTCATCAACAATATTGCAAGTTCTGAAATACTGTTGTGAACTGATCCCACTCCCACTCACTCTCATTTAGCAGTTCCTCATTTTTCACTCTCCTTTCGCAGTTCCTCCGCTTGGTCCTCCAACAATATTTCAGAACTTGAAATATTGTTATGGTCAGCAATTTATATGGAGCATGGATAGCATGGTGATATCCTATAAATAGCAGACCCATTTAACTGGTATTTCAACTTTTAAAATGCCATTCTTAGTGTTGAGTCACTAACTTTTTGACTTTATGAATTTTGGAATATTCTTCCATTATTTAGATTGTTTCACCTCTACAGAAAAAAAAGTCAACTAGAAGAAACTTCAAGAAGAAAAATATGTGTTGACTAAGCTTTTAAATAACCTGTGGTTTAGGCTTTCATAGTAAAAGAGACATTTTGGGATTTTCCACTTCCCTTCCATGAATTACTGAAAAGTTGTTTCTGGTTCTGGACTCGTTTCCTCTGACAGAGCATCAGAGGGACTGGTGTGGAGGATTTTTTTATCAAAAGTGAAAGCAGTCTGTAGCAGTGATAGTACTGCACCCGGTGTGATCTTTCCCTTCCAAGCCATTGGTCTCATTGCTGAGATGCTTCTTATCTTTGTCATGTGTATAAAATTATTGACTTAACCTTCTTGGTAGCAGTAACAGCTGCAGGACTTATTGATAGCAATTGTGTGCAATTTCACTTCCAGTGTCAAGATTAGATAAGAAAAGAGACTGCAATGTGAATGATAAGTGAACAAAATTTTCTATTCAGCTAGAACAATACAGGATGGAAACTTTATTTTTGCAACTTGAAGGACTGGAGTATGCCTGCCAACCTTAAGGAAACAAAGTGCAAAAATTTTGCTTAAGCAGAAAACAAAGGAGACATGGTTGCTGGGAACAAATTCTATAAGGAAGCTGAAATTAATTTTGTTTGATGCAAGTTACACAGTTTTTAATATTATTAAATGGTTAGAATGGATGAATCCAATAAATTCATAGTAGTTTTTGCCTTGCTTTATTAAGAGGGGAAGCTTGGTGGGGCAGGCACAAAACCTGACCCTGATACAGTTGATAAATATTTCTGTTTACTCATATAAAGTTTCTGGTTTTTATCAGTCTACTCTTTGTAGACATTTTTTTGATCTTCAGTAAAAAATATAAATACTTGCAGCATAGGGGAGCATCTAGGAAAAAAGATAGATATTCACGTTTTGTCTGAATAAGCATCAAGTGAATAAGCATCAAGTGAATTGTTGCTAAACTTACTTCACTAACTATGGTAGAGAAATAAGGAAATCAATAAAAGCTTAAGTGACTTGCTTCATGGTCACAACTGAAAAATATGTTAATATGAAGAATAATTGTGTTTGGTGTTAGTGGAACCTTTAATATTCTGATATTTATAATTTAAAATGCAGTATGAGGAAAAGGCAACATCTTGCCCGAATCCTTCACGACATGTTTAATAGCACAGATTTCAGACTGGTTTGTTTATCGCTAGATGGTGCTGTTGCTTTGAGAGAAAAAAAAAAGTTCCAATGCATTTGACTCTCCCTTTCTTTCACTGGGGGATGAATTCAGTAAAATAGAGGCCGAAGACTTAATTCTTTTTTTCTTACATTGAAAAGATAAGTAATTCAAGGTGATTATACTGTTGTATAGTTTTCTTTTTGTAGTTTTTTTTTTCCAAATTAATAAGTCTGGTCTTAGCATGGTAATAGTAAATTTGAAATAGAATTGTGGTCTATTGACACCACTTTCAAGTTTGAGGTAGGGTAATCTGGATATTATTTTCATGCCTGATGGTGTGAAATGAATGTCATGCTTGTTGAATCCACTAAAAGCATAATTGTTGAATTTGATTGTATTGTCTTCTGATAAGCATTTGAGCAGTCATAAAAAAATACTTTGAATCTTATCTGTATTAGCCATATTTCAGTTGCATTAAGTTAGTGCTCTTGAGCTGGGATAAACTGAAGTATCCTATAGTCTTTCTGCTAATAATTTGCAGAAAGAATGTAATAAATTGCTTTTTAGGCTTATGTGCCTTACGTGATCTGGGCTGCCTTGATGGGAAGGGAGATAGCTCTTTAATGTTACTGGTGAAGGTAGAAGGATCCGAAAACACACTTGTGAAACTAAAGCATGTTTGTTAAAACTACTTGCAAATGATTATGCCTTTGTCTTGTCTTGTCTAGGTGTCCATTGCACACATGGTTTCAATAGAACTGGATTTCTGATCTGTGCCTTTTTGGTCGAGAAGTTGGACTGGAGGTAACTTTGAACGTTAATTCCTAGGGATTTGTGGAGAGTGACCAAAGGCATCTTCAGTATGTTTCACTCATTGTCCTGACAGCTATCCTAATGTGTTCACTGTTTGTTATTTTAAAACTACCTACTAATCTTGAGCAAACAACCTGTATTAACGTTATTCATATCATCCCTTGGTAGCTTAGCCTGTTTCAGTCAAGCTTTCCAGGTCTGGTAGGTCAAAAGTCATCTGTACCTGCTGTGTGTGGGCTTTTAGGAGTGTATATCTTGCATTGTGTCTCTTCCCTGTGATATGTCCCACATTTTGAGTAAGAATGTAGAGTTCAGAGATGCCTGAAAGATTATTTCTGTTACTTTTTCATCTTTTTCATGTAGGTTTGCATGTAGGCTTTTTTGTTTTTTTGAGTTCTGAAGAGAAGAGATTAGCTAGAGCAACAGCAAAGTGACATACTTGCTTCTGAAGGGTCGGGGGGAGACCAAGTCCTTGTTTCCTGCTTGTTGTTTGACTGAGGTCTACAGCATGCTTCTTTCTATACAGACTCACCTGGGTTTTTTGTGATTTAAAAATGTTGGTGCCTTCATGGAGAGTAGTGATCTTTTTCAAATAACATTAGTGTTAAAAAAAAAAAAAATTGCCTGTACCATGCTAGTGGGCATGGCTTCTGCATGTTTGGTAGTATTCACGAAACACTATTTCCTTGCTGACAGGGTCCTGTCCAAGGCACGTTTCTTAACAAGCCCCTTAAGCATTCTGATGATGTTTCTTGTATGGTCCTTTAAGTGAAGAAAATTCTACTCCTGTTGCAACATTTTCTTATGACTGGACATACAGTTATTTGGTGCTTAGCATGTATGTGCAAGCTGTTTGCAAAGAACTAGGTCACTGTTGTCTGTTGGTAAACTTGGAATAAAGACATTGGAGTAATGGAGACAGAACACCATTAGCAGTGGGTGGCTGAATCTTGGCAGAATCTTAGCTGAGTAGAGGAAGTAGACACGGATACAAATGTCTTTATAATATGATTCTAGTTGTTCCTATGAACTAACAAATTTGTATGCTTTTAATCTAAATTTAAAAGCAGCATGCAATGGTTAGACTCAGAATTGGTTAATTGTTCTGAAGAGGAAATGCACTTGAATCTATTTGAATCTCCTGCTTTTATGCAGCTTCTCTTTATTTTCAAACCTCTGTGGGAAAAGCCTTAAAACTTAACAGCCATGTCTTATTTTTTTTGCTTCATTCAGGTAGTTAATTGTATCAAGTTTGTTTATCTCAGTCAGATTTTTTTTAACAGAACACCCAGGTATCACCTGGTAGGGAAAAATGTTCACAGCAAAAGAATGCATTTCGGCAAGGTGGTAGTTAATGCTAAGCATTGTATCAAGATAAATCCAATCTGCTCTATCATTCTTTAAAATAAGGCACTGTTATTTGCTGATGAGGAAATAAGATTTTGCTGATGGAAAAATCCATCCATATTCATTCCTTAAGCATATGATATAGGAGTGCTGCTGATGTATTCTGAATACTGAGATGTATTTTACAGTTAGTTTAAAGAAAGGTCATCCAGACTGAAAGCTCTCCAGCTAGTGATCAGAAACCTTACTTGATTCTCTTTTTCGCAACTCATTTTTCCCAAAGACTGCTATGTTTCTAGAACTTGCAAAATATGTTTTCTTTCAGCTAGGTTTCTGTGCTTGAAATCTGTGCTGCCTCTTTTGGCTTTCATTACCATCTATTCCAGAATAGTATAGAGTTCTTCCACTATCATCAGAGACAAATTTGAACATCTTTTAGGCCCCATCCCTTTTGGTTTGTTTTGTCCTTTCAATGGCATTAATTACAGAAGATGTGAAACAATTTAAGAAAGATACCAAAATAAAACAAAGTCTTGCGAGGAAGAAATTAGGAGTCTTAGAAAACAGAATGGGGAAGAAAGCTCCTTCTAAATAACTCAGATTCTTTTACTGTCATTTCTGAGATCTGATGACTGACCATCTGATAGTCTCACTCTGGAAAATGTTTTGTTTTCTACTCTTACCAAAGATCAGAAGAGAGAACCAAACTTAGTGGTTCTTAGGAAGTGTTTCTGTCTGTTCTGGGAAATTCGCCTCAAAGTTCTCAGGCTCCTTCCCATACTGTACAGATCAGACAAAAAAAAAATGCCTTGTGTATTTAAATTCTTTTTTCCATTTTAGCTATATGTTTTCCTTGTTCCAGTGGCAGGCTATTTTCTTATCTGAAAAAAATGCTTTTGACAGGATGTAATATGTGCTTTTGTTCCAGCTTTAAGATATGTGCCTGTCAAGAAGCCTAACAGGGGCATGCACTGTTTGTGATTTCTCCTCTCTTTTATTTAGCAAGATTTCTAAATGTTGATCCATGGAGCATTACTCTTCCATGCAGCCATGATAAATTGAAGGCACAATTATGTCCAGTGTTTGCTGTTAAACATTTTCATAGGATCTATGAAAATAGCAACAATAAAAACCTTGTGCTGTGCTTGCTGTTGTATATTTTGGAGCGCTTTCCAGCTGGCTAGTAAAGGTGCATGACTTAGTTTTGGTTTCTAATTTTTTTGTGATCCAGTCTCCAGTTTATTAAAGCACTTAAGATTAAGTGTTAGCTGCATAGTAAAAGGCTTCTGAATTACAGGTTTTTTTATGAGAAACTCCTGGAAAGAGAAGTAATTTCAAAAGATAGGATGCTTTTTCCCAGTGTGATGGCAAAACCTCTACCGAAAGGAAAGAGAATTCTTAGGGGGAAAAATGTAGCCATATTTGAATTTCAACACTTGCATTTTTCTTCATTAAGTTTGTTCATCTTTCTTTGGCCTTTTTTGTCTTCGTTCAGTCCTTAGGTACTTACCTACGTGTCACCCATTCCTTTTCTGTAGCAATAATAGAAGTTTTACCTAGGTGACCAGCAGACCACTACTAGCTACAATAAGGAGACGAAGCAGTGCAAGCTGCAGTTACTTCTGGGAACATACGCAGTGCCTACATAATTATGCAGAATCTTGTGCGAGACCAACAGTTGCCAGGCTGATCTAAGCATGTTGTTTCAAATATAATGAATGTTTTTGCAATTACAAGTTTGGAATTTGTTTTAATTCTCAGTCCCAATAAATCTTACGTTTAATAAGGCATAACATGACTAAAACACGTAAATTAAGCATCCAGAGTAATTTTCAATTTTTATTTGACAGTATTGAGGCTGCTGTGGCTACTTTTGCTCAGGCTAGACCACCAGGTATTTATAAAGGTGACTATTTGAAGGAATTATTTCGTCGTTATGGAGATGAAGATGATGCACCGTCACCACCTGAGCTACCAGAATGGTGCTTTGATGAAGATGAAGAGGAGGATGATGATAATGGTAAAACAGGAGGCCAAGAATCAGAACCTGGATCATCAAGCTCTTCCTTTGGCAAGAGGAGAAAAGAACGCCTAAAACTGGTATTTTTGATTAAGAACTTAGTATTCTAATTGCTAAACTTAATTTCATAAACTCATAGTCATCAGTTACATAATACATGCTGTACAAGTGTCGGTGCTCTTGCAAATGAGGACTGGTAGTATTCCTGCTCTCTAACCAGGAAAAACTGGTAGATTCATTGCAAGCTTTCTTATGTTTCCTATATGAACCTTGAACTTTAACATTCAACGCCTCAACTATTCCAGTTGTAAAAAAGACTTAAAATTTTTCTAATATAACAATTAATTTTTTTTTAAGTTTGAATTGAGATAGTAAAGCACTTCTTAATTACTCACTTTATCTTTAGAGGTGAAATGTTATGGGGGGTGTGTGTAAACAATTTTTACTTTTTTTTTTATAGCCATGTGGATGAAATTCAGAATTTTTTAAATTCAGTGCTCATTTTGGTAAATATTCTTACTTCTGGAAATTTGGGAGGATTGAGAATTGGATTAGCAAAAAGCAATATAGCTTAAAAACCCCAAGGCAGCTTTGAAATTATATTTTGTTCAAAGCTGTTTTAACTGTATAATGATAAGAAACATGGTTGATCACTTATTGTGATTATTTTGACATACACCTGCATAATTCTGAAATAAGTTACTCTAGTTACCATAGTACGGAACTAATACTCAAGTTCAAGGAATATACTTGTATCATCTGAAGACTAATGGCTTAGTTCTCTTCAAATTCCTGACTCTCTTTTTTTATTTGCAGATAAAGTAGGGGAGAATGTTGCTGAGTGCAAAAATAGATTCAGTTCTTTTTGCATAATACTGAATTATTTTACTTGTGTGCTGAGGTGTGTTTGTTTGCAAACACTTGGGAATCCTCATATGAAATATGCTGCAAAAATGTATTTGTTGTTACTGCAGCTGCTCAACATGGTTTACAGATGGAGTATGGAAGAAATTAGCCTGAAAGGAATACAAAATATAGTCCAAAGAAGCAGGACGAACTCTGAAAACTTTCAAATAGTCCATCAGCTGGAATAAAAAGTTGCCCACACTGTAAAAATCCATAGTAAAAATATATTCAGGGGTATGGCGACTACCTCCATTAGCCTTGCAGTAAAACACTGATATCTAAAAGAGTTTATTTGGGCTGGAAACTCAAAACTGTTTTTTTGACTTGCCTTTTGATGCATTAGCAAGTGAGGTGTGATGGTGAGGTCCAGTGACAGCCTCTTTTTAGCAAGTATAAAACTAAACTGGTCTGTTTAACAGGAATCATGATACTGGCTTCCCAGAATTTTTCTTATCTGCCACCGTAGTTTTTTTGAAAGCTGGAAGCTAAATTATACGAATAAGCATATTAATAACTAAAAGTTAATTATGAGTTAGAGAATTTATGAAAGAAAGAATCATCTAGTTAATATGCATATTCGTATAATTCAGTTTTGCAGCTCTGGAGGAACATTCTTTGACATGAAGAGGAGGAACGGGGAGAATTCTTTACCATGGTTCTTGGCTGGCAGATTGGACTGCTTCTTAACTCAGTAGAGATGGATACAATCTATTTGTGATTCCTTGTAAATATGCGATCTACAGGGGGAATGATTATCAGGTAAATACCTCTTGCTCAGATTTTCTTATTTTACTGTCTGAAGGGCTAAATTTTCAGCATTATGTTTATTTCCTGCAGCAGATGTTTTCAGCCTTCTAATTTGACTCTTTCTCTAAACACCTAGGGGTAAACAGTGTCAAACTAGAGGTGGCTGTGGTGATAGTGGTGGTCTGAAATGTTTCCATTTTGACCCAAATCTTTGAGGGGACAGAAGAAAAGTTCAGGGGTAGAGGAGGAGACACCTCCCAGGCATCTCGCTAGGCTAATGAATAGTCAGAAGCAACTGCCCAGCTAGCCTGCAAAGTGAAGTTAGCATGCTGTCCATTTCAGAAATTCCATCTTGGATGTGAGAAACTTTACTGCAACAACTTTCACTAAAACGTCCATATTTTGATGTCAAAAAGTCTTGACAGCCTTTCTTTTCTATACTACAGAAACGTGAGAACCGTTAGAACGTAAAGCCATTACAGTTTCCTTTGTCATCACCCAAATGTGTTGACAGGTAACAGCAAATCTGTTTGCTGTAGTCTCAGATGCTACACAGGAAATCCAAACATGTTTTGACTTTGTCAGTGCATGCCATAATGATTGTAGCATCGAAGCAAACATTATTAACTGACACTTAGAATCTCACTTCAGGAAAAAAAAAATCTTCAGGAAAAAAATACTTGATTTTGCAAATAGGACAAAAAGTTATACTTCAGAGCCAGAACCTTCAAACTTTTCATGGGTCAACCTGATATTTTGCTGTTTATTAAAGAATGCCATCTGTTCTAGTCCCATGTAAGCTGCGTATTTCACAGGCGTTACAGGGTATAATACGTAGTGCTTCTAAAATGGATGGTTACATCTCAAACAGTCTGGAAGAGGTGGTAGCTGTTAATGACTTTGTTCATGATGTTGAGTGCAGGTGTCTTGTGGTCATCTGCCAGACAGAGGGAAACCATTAAACTTCATGGTTGACATAGTCAGCGAGGATCATATTTATTATTTAACTATCAAAGTACGTTGATACTAAATATTAGTGACTTTGTTTTTTTTCTGCCTAACCTTTTTTTTTGCCAAAGTTTAATCCCTGTACTTATTTTTTTCCCCATGGGTGTCTTGATGGATATGGGAGAAAGATTATTTTCTGATTTTGCAGCAGCATTTTATGTACTTTATGATACATTTTATGATACGGGTGTCATATCCTTTTAGCCTTCTCTTTCTCCACATTAAATGCCAATTTGTTCACTTTTTCCCTATAGTCTATATATTTTTTTTTTTTAATTCTTCTGACCATACTTGTCATTCTTTGTATTGTGTCATGTTGACTCACGTTTTTCTGAGACTGTGGTGCCTATAACTGAACACAAGCCTCTCATTCAGGCCATCCTAGTGCTTAATATGGAGGAATTAATTTCGCATGTCTTAAGGCTAATACTTCTGTTTATATATCTCAATATAATTGCCTTTTACAAGACAGAATAATACTAATTCAGCTTTTGGTCTCTTGCTGCCTCTGTATCTTTTTCTCTAATTATCTACCAGTGTGTGTTTGTATAATTGCTTATTCCTTATTAAGTGTAGAACTTTGTTTATACTGAATTGCACAGTGTTTTTTCCAGCCCATTCTTAAAATTAAGGATGACACTGAATTTTTAAGCTACCATCACAGTCTGTATCCCTGTTACTAAATTCACAGATGTCACAAAAATAAGAATATACTAATAGGAAATTTAGGGAAAATAAATTAATTCTCTTATACCTAAACCAGACCCCGCAGATCCTCCTCAATATATTCTTCCATTTTGTTAGTGAAACTCTAACTCCTCTGAACCTGGTTTTGAAACAGGTTGCTCTTCTGTTTTATAGAAGTTACATCTACCCCATGTTTTCTGAGTTCCTCTATGAGAACATGACAAGCAAACAAAAGACAAGCCAAGACAAAAGCCAGCATCAAAAGATGTGATATTTCCTGCTTCTCCTGATTCTGATTAGTTGAACACTGTTGTTACTGAGTGACAGTCAGTATGATTTTGTTGTATCTTTTTTGCTTGTACGTGCCTAGAGGCAGTTCTTGTGATTCGGTCCTGTATTTCTAGGTATTAAATCTAAGCTGATCAGTGTAACTCCCTGGCTCTCCCTTCCTCCCTTTTCGAAGATGCGGACTCACTCTCTTCCTGACATGTTTTGGAATGTTTCTTGTCCTCTGGAAGGCAGTCTCTGAGCATATTGGCACTTGGTCAAGTCTGAGTAGCTGAAGATGGCTATCACCCAGGCCTGGTGATAGCCACTAGGGTCAGGGAGGTGTGTGTTTGGGGCTGTTCCCACTCACCCACTCCTCCAGATGGTGTTTAGGATCTGAACCAACACAAGATGATACACATTGCCACTTCTCCTTCAGCTGAAGTGATAGGGTGGAGGGATACGGTGGCAAGTGGGGAGAGCTTGTTTAGTACAGATGGTGTGAAGGTTGTGCAGAGTGTAGATACTAAGTGCATGTAGTTACCTTGGATCCATTAGGGCTTATAACTCTTGGCTTAGTAGCAGCGCTGAGGACCTGAGGTGCTGCTGAGCTGAGTGCTCTGGCATTTCTGCACCGTGTTCTCCAGCGTCCTGTTTCTACAGGGGATTGTTAGCTCAACAGCGGTGCAGAAAGTGCATGGATCTGGCTCAGTTTTGGCACCTTATCCAAGGAAATGTCCTCATGAAACCTGGAGCACTGAGTTAGCCGAGCACGGATGCCCAAGTGACTTACCTTGTTTTCGTAGTGCTGTGCCTTAAGTAGTGAGTATACTTGAGGCAGATAATCTGCAAGAGACACTTCCAAATGGCAGGCACCAATTTCACGTTTATGGCTTTTTCTTTTCCAGAAGATCTTTCCTGTTGCCTGCCTTTTGCTTTAATCTTAGCAGTCGTACTGCCGTTGCACTTGCCATTATTCTGAGAAGCTAGGCACAATCATCTTCCTTTATTTTGTGGTGCTCTTAACCACTTACTCAGAATTCAGATGACATGCTGGCTAGGCATGTGTAGCTGTCTGCCTCCCTTGCCCAGTCAGCTGTGTTCTGTTGCACCTGCTGGTGCCCACTTAAATAATATGGGTAAGTGACGTGCCGAAAGTATGTGGAGCTTAAGGTAATTAAGGTTATGAACTAGCGTATTTCTTTATGATGTACTGTTCTCAGAATATGATTTGGTGGTGCAACTGAGTCAATCTTAACTAAATTCAGGCTGTACTGAAAACTGTGGTCCTGCTTTCCCTGCACTCCTTGTGTTCCTTCTGCTTCCCTTGTGCTGGCACTAGTGCTGACTCATCCTATGGTGAGCTAGTTTAGGATACTAATTTGGCAGAAAATTACTAATTTATGATGTTATTTTTGCCAACTTAGTTCCTAGACTTGCTCAAGAGTAGAACAGATGAGTGCCACGGTGTGTGGAAAGGGAAGGGAGCAAAAAGGCTCCTTTCATCAGTAGTATGCAGCTAGATTTGTTAAGGCAAGTTTCAAGCATTTTAGACAACAGATACAGGATACTTGTATCTTCATTTGCAGGATTCATAGCTCAACAGGTGAAACTTAATGCTTTGATCTTGTTAGTCTGCATTGAGAATTTATTTGAGATGCTGTTGAAATCAGTCTGGTTGATTTGGTATCTCTAATTATGTAGCTTTGTAGACCTGATGGCTTTAATGTGTTCTGTTGTGCAGAATTTGTTTTTATTTCACTTGGCATCACACTTTTTCTGGAATATACAAGTTATTTTACAGTTTTATTTTCAGTATTATTTTGTTGATCTCTATTTAGGCTTTTCTGTGGCATTCAGGATAGCACCTCCACTTTAGTAACCTGGTTTAGATTGAGAATAAAATTACGCAAGTATATTTTTATGCAAATATTTTATTACAAACCAGCTGTTTATGTTTTCTCTTTTGTTAAGAAGTTTGTCCTAGATCAACTGAGAACTCTTTAAGTTTGCTGCTGCATAGGTACATTCATTCTTTCAGTTGTTTTCCCTACCATGTAAGTTTAAGTTTTGAGACATATAATGTGGTAGATCACACAGGTGGAGATGAAATCCACGTAGTTGAACTTCTTGTACTGGAATTACCATCTAGGTCTGATAAAATTAATGTATTTAATTGAAAACATGCATCTCAAAGATTTGGAGGGAGAAAAGTAGGACTTAATGTCTTCATCTGCTGAGATTTTTGTTTAAAAAAAACAAAACAAAACACCAAAAACCTTGTGTCTAAAGATGTTTCCCAGTGACTTTAGTTCACTAATTACCAAGCTACTTATGTTTATCTCACATTAGAAATCTACTGTTAGTGAGCAGCTCTTACTTTCCATGAATCAAGGAAAGCATGGAATTGTCAGTCTAGAAATACTGTTTATGTATTAAAAAAATTTTATTTAATATTTCATAGGTCAATTTTGTCTTTAGTTTCCAGTTTACTTATTTTGAGGCCATACTTTTTGACACACTTAAAAGTGTGTCACAAAGGCTTCTGCCAGAAAGAGTTTTGTGACCTTTAATGTACAGTGATTTGCTCCAGGCTTACTATACTGCTTAGGTTCAGATTCTCATCCACAAATAGATGTCTTACACTACCTTATTATTATATAATATTTTGTGTACTGTGATGATTATCTTGATCCCTGCAAATTCCATATGTGACCAATTTACTATTAAATGCTTGATACTAGTGTACTTTCTTTTTAAATAAAAACATTTTAGTTACAAATGAAAAACACTGAGTCAGACTGATGCTATAGCTTGATGTGGGAACTTTCTTGAGAGTACTAGCTAAACAGTGCCTATCCCTTACCATTTACTTCCTTTTAAAATTTTTTTTTAATTATTATTTTATTTTTTCCTGCATAAATAACTCATTTCCTGGGTTCGTAACATGGCTCACCAGTGAGTTTGCTGGCAAAGCTCAGCTGATGTATCTTGGTATTTGGGGGTAAATCTTTAAGGAATATTTAAGCTAGTATTGCTTATGAGGGTCATGTCGTAAAACCGGATTTAATCTTGTATTGACATGTTCTGATCTGCTTTTATGAAGGCTTAAATACTAAGTTGTTTTTTTTTTTTTTTTTTTTTTTTTTTTGGGCCATTTTTTTTTTGGGGTATAAAATAATGTCAGCAGTTCTGTGGATGGGAAGGGTATGAGAACGTTTAGAGCTTGTTTACTTATACTGTCTAGAGTCTAGAAATTTCTAGTTTTGCAGAAGGAAACAGCTCATTGCTCATTGGAAAAAAGGTGGCTATTTTTGGATGGATTGTTTAAAAAAAAAAAAAGCAAGCCTCAAAAACACTCAACAGTGAAACAGATGAGGATCTTGCATTGTGCTATGAAGGGTGCAATTTTCTTGGAAGGAATAACAGTTAAATGTGTGACCCAGGTGACAACACAACCAAAGTTAGGAGGAATACAGCAAAAATGTCAGCAGTTCTGTGGATGGGAAGGGTATGAGAACGTTTAGAGCTTGTTTACTTATACTGTCTAGAAATGTTATGTTTCTAGTTTTGCAGAAGGAAACAGCTCATTGTAAAAATGAAAAAAGGTGGCTATTTTTGGATGGATTGTTTAAAAAAAAAAAAAGCAAGCCTCAAAAACACTCAACAGTGAAACAGATGAGGATCTTGCATTGTGCTATGAAACAGAATGGTGAACTGTTGATATTAAGAAACAAGATTCTAGAGCTGCTTTTCCACTGAGATAACAATGTTTTCAGATGAATTGTTGCTGTTCAAATTCCAGACGTAGTCTAGTCCATATATTTGTGTAAAATTTAGTGCTTGCTCAAGCAGTAGACTACTTATACAACTGCTATTACACTTCAGTATTGAGGTATAATACTCATTTTTATAGCCAGCTTGGATTTGTGTCCAGTGATAATGAGAACGTTGATTTTAATGACTCAGATTCTGAACTCCTCCTTTCCAAAGCTGATGATCCAGGGAGTTGCTCACAGTGCTTCCTAACTTGCTGATGCTTATAGTTCTTCTAGTACTTGTAATTTTAAATTCAGATATCTCTTCCTCCAAAGTTAAAACTTTGAAGTTCCACATAATTTAGTGTTTTGTCATAAACAAATACCCTTGTTCTTATCAGATAGGTGTTTGATTCCTCTTGCAAAATACCTTATTGGAGAAGATGTTCTAACTCAAAGTTAACCTTGCAGCAAGTCTGGTACAAAGTGTGACTTCAGTCTAATGTAAAAAATGCATTGCCTTGTGTGACTATTTATTGCAGAAACATGGTTCTTTTCTTTCTTTTCAGGTCTGGATTCCCTGGAGCACAGCCTGTTTCCATGGACAAGCAAAATATTAAATTTTTGGAGCAGAAGCCATACAAAGTTAGCTGGAAAGCAGACGGCACTCGGTAAGTTAATTTTAAATGAAAAAGAAACACCCAATAAATTGGGTAGACAGTTTGTATTTTCTCAGGAAAGTGAATTCGCTTGTACAAAGGACAAAGCATATTCTAACAACAAAACTGGCTCCAGAGATTAATTTTTTTGCTGTCTTGGTACCCAACATTTGCTGAAGTTCATGGCCAAGTTTCTTTTTAGCAGCTGTTCTGCAGACTGACTGTTAAATGTATGTACTTTTATTCTTCTCCATAACCCTTGCCTGTCTGTCAGCGAAGACTTGCCACCAAGGTCTTAGAATAATCTTAGATAACCGTGAGAGTTTGTTAAGCTAAGGAATTTGTTTATAAAAGCTAAATTAAAACTTCTAGTTGATCCTTCAGAAGCTGGCTAGTATTAGAAATTTCATAAGGTTTTTTTATTCGTACTGTGATCCTTTGTTCAATCTTGTAGTTCTGGTCAGCCAAAGAGTCAATAGTTTCATCTTCCCTCACCAGTTCTCTTACATTCATTGTAGGGGTTACTTTTTTTTATAACAGACTGCAACCTGATTGGATTGATGTGTTGACCCTCTTCAGTGTTGTTATTTCTGGTTTGAAATGCATCCTTGTATTTAATTTCTCCAGTATTTTCATGTTAGCATTTCAAAGTAGGCGAAACGCCATACATCATCAAATACAGAATGGCAAAACACTTTTTTCTCTGATTGTAACTGGTTATAGATCGGTCTCAACTGCATGAAACTCGGTTGTCTAAACATGTGCATCTGGTGTCATCAGGTATCCTTTCATTGCTTTGTCCTGTATGAAAAAGCCATGTCACACAGGGTCTCTTGCCTCTACACCCAGCAGCCTGGATGAGGTATAGAAAGTGTTTGCTATTCACATTGAAATAAACCCCCAAATGTTAGGTGCCCCGCTTTCTTGTACTCTTGCAAAGAGGTACTGTGGCCCTTCATACAAACAAATCTTTCTTGAGTAAAATTCCAAACCTCCAAAATCATACTTATTTTCATAGGACTGAATATTTTTAATAGGTTGGAACATTTGTGAAATTACAACCATTTTCTTGAGGTTTTGAAATCATCATCAGTGGGGATTGATATTCTAACCTTCTGTTTTTTCATCAGTATTTCTGGTTTCAAAACTAAAATCAAGAATCCCAGATATTAATGGAAGTGGTTTTAACCTATGCTACTCATAGCATTCAGATCACAATCTTCCTTTTTGTTGTGGGCACTATCTTGAGGTAATTAATAATGTAACTTCTTACATCATAGTCAATAGTGTCTCAGTAACAGGAAGAATCTATATTGTGTGACATATCTCATTCATTTCAATAGCTTGATTTTTATTTCTAAAAGATGTTCTTTACATAGAGTTGTATTTAAGCAATTGTAACCTGTGCTAAGTGGAGTGACTTTAGTTTTTATTCACTTAGAGCAAATGAATAGATTTTTTAACCTGCTTTGACTCGATCAGAAAAAGTGCAGTTACAATGTATGTACACACGGTAAGAGGAGGACTGTTACAGTCATTTGTGCATGGTGCTTTAGACTAGCAAAAGAGTTCAGTGTTCACACGCGTATAAGTTAGAAGGCATCAGTTCTGTGGGTGAAATGCATGCTTTCAAAAACAGGAGGTAAGAATTTTTGGTTTCAGACTGGTGAAGTTAAAATACTGGGTTTGTGTATAGTTACGGGCAAAAGAAGTTTTGTTTTAGCAGTGCAATGGAAAGCATTCTCCCTTCCATGTGCTGAGACGACAAAGTAAAGTTTTGATACTAAATAAACAAGCAGTGTAGGCTGTCTTCTAAAGTTTTTCTTGTGTTCTTTATTTTGTTAGGTTTGTTATCTTTAGTAATAGAATGGAGTATCCTAGATAATGAAAAGCCTGGAAAATACGGGAAACTGGGTGTCTTATGAGAATTACCAAGTGGCTCCACGTGGAGTCAGTCAGGATTCAACACAATTCAGCCAGAACTAAGCTGCTTCCTATAAAAAACCAAACCAAAACCAAACCCAAACCTTCAGGTGTCTCTCACCTGTGGAGTTTGTACTTCAAGGGTTTATTAGCTTGGGCAGAGCATGGTGTGAAAATACAAAGTAAGCTTGCACTCAGCATGGCATCCAAGCATTAAGAAATGGGTGGGAGCATTTGGCTTACTAACATTGGCTGGCTGTATGCACAAGCACTTGTGTAATGCGATGCAGGTGTTCTCAGGGTGCGAGGTTACAAAACATGGTCTTGGGAGATCCAGGCTTATTCTCAGAGCGGTACAGCGCGTTCAAAAGCTGCTGAGCTCAGCCAACTTAAACTGACCGTGCAAAGAGCCAGATGGGAGTCTTTGCATTTACTCTGCTTTTAATCCACATTCCAGATATACCGCCCATGGACTTGACTTGTATAACTATGAAAATATGTTTACAAAGTATTAATGTCCTGTGCAGCTCAGATATTCGTAATCTTTGCCTTTTTTCACAGCTTAGTCCTTCAGGAAGCCTTTGTTTTAGGGATTGGTTTACACTAATATTTTAGTATGTATTAAAGACATTTTATGGAAATGTTTTCTTATAATCTAAGCCTATTGCTTCAAGAAATAGTAATAGCAGAAAATAATTCTGGTTTTAAAATACTTTCTTTACAGAAGGCCATTTGATATTAAAGGAAAAAATTGCTTCATCTGCAGTGTGCACTGCCACTGAAGAATAATCTGTTCAAAACCGTGGGTCATTAGCTAATACAGATTGGTATGTCTTAGAACAAATACTAGGATGCTGTAAAATTACAATTAGTGCTATTCCTTAGGGTTGTGAGCTGTTTTTCCACATTTCTTTTTTTGTTTGTATTTTCAGTATGAAGAGTCTTTCTTTGCCATATCTTATGTTGTTTGTTTGGAAAATTGAAGTCTTATGGAATATTCTTATTTTCTTACTCAAATGTACAGGATGCATACATTCTGAATACTAGAATAATTATATAGAAAATAGTAGTGCACCTGGAAGACTGCCTTTTGTGAAAGAAATTAAAGTGCACATGTAATTTCTTGCAGGAATTTTCAGTATTTTGGACATTCTGTCCTGTGTTTTTAGAGTTCTAGAATGGTGAGAAAACAGAATGGATGAAGAATAAAACTGAGAGAACTAAATAGTTCTTTTAAATTGTCTCAAAACATAATAACTTCTAGTTGATTATGGAGATACACAGGTATATTCAGAGAAGAAAACGGTGCGACAAAGATCCAGTGTTAATGAAATTCAGCTGAAGGAATGTTGTGAAAGAGAGATTAAAGATGAAAACCTGAGCTATTATTTGGACATTTAGACACTGTGCATGATAACTATCCTAATCAACAATGAAAAATGACTATGGCAGTTTTTACATTGGACATGCTTCTAATTATTTTGTTGTTCTCCAACGATCCGGATTCCATAGGCAATTAAACAGATTTTCATTAATTATTCTGAATGCTTGTGTTGACAGGCGTGACCTTCCTGAGTTTAATATTAAGACATCAGTTAGTGGAGATCCATTTATGGATCCCCTGCTTGCTTTATCTGCAGATGAAACTCCTGTCATCAAATATCTCTGAAGCTATTCTGTTAAGTGTGGTTTAAATGCAGCAGTCTAGGGTTTGCCTATTACAATATTATTTGGCTTGCATACATTTTTTTGTTTTGTTTTGTTCTCTCTCTTCGCATAAAAAAGCACTGCTGTTTCATCGGCCTGATTGGACTTGCAGAAAAGCAGATGCTTAACTAATAACTTTATATTATACTTTCTCACTTAAATAAAACACTCTCATCTCAGTTAATAGCAATATTTGCTCAACTTAGCCAAACTTCTTAAATTTCACCATTGTTAAATACCTGCATTTTATTCCTGCAGCAGTAGTTTTCTCTAGAGGTTTCATGACTGAAGCCTTTATTTGTAGATTGTCTTAACTGACAGGTAGTGTCAGTAATTTCACTGAGGACTTCTACTTTTCTCCAAAGGCATTTGCTATTCCTAGATTTCAACTGGAGCTGAACTTCCACCCTTCTGGTTGATGAGCTGTGTTGTTGTTGGGTTTTTTGTTTGTTTGTTTTTCAGTGGTAGAACAGTGCATGTTTTCTTGCTTTCATAGTATTGTTATATTTTTCTACCCATAATTTAAAAAAAAAAAAAAAAAGAAAGTATTTCCCTAAATGAAAGAGCATTATTTATCATCTTGTGTTGACTAAATAATATGAAATTGATTAGTTAAATTATTTGACAGAGATTCTGTAAAATATTTTCGGGAAATTTACTGGAGTAGTATCTTACACACTTTTGTAAATGTGAGGGTTCTGAGTCTGGGTTGGGTCAAAACTCATCCTCCTCCATTCTTTTGGAGCCCTGAGTTCAAAATCTTTTGACTTACCCGTGCTTAGTCTGTCCTGATTCGCAGAGTTTGTGCCTACACCGTGGTCTCGCTTGTTCTGTGCCTTGTTTCCAGAGCTCTTGTTCCATGAGCATCGGCAAGGCACACCTTCTTGTTCTTGCTCCAGCTTTCCTTCTGGAGCATGTTTGTTCCAAAGGGAAATGCGGTGTGAACAAATACTCCTCCCCTCCTGTTTGTAAATGCCTATGTGTAAAGATGTGTACATTTGCATCTCAGGTTTAGACAAATGAACTTTAAATTAAAAGAGCTTTGAAGCTCACTTAGCATTGGCTCTCTTTGGAAAAATATTTCCTTTGTGCCAGCTATTTGCATGTATGTAAATATTGTGTGCAACTCACTCTGTTTTGGGGAAAAACACCTCTAAAATCATACTGCTTTAAGTTATTGTTATTAAAAAAAAAAAAATCACGTAAGTCTGCAGCTATTCTGCCTGGTATGGTGTGAATTCTATCCTGTATATTTATTGGAACAGTTGTCAAACCTCTGGTGTCTTAAAAATAATTTTAATGCTAATCTATTCATAAGGCACAGAAATCCAAAGGGCAAATTTCCCACTACTAAAATCATGCCTTTTGGCTTTGTTGAGATG